CCCTCCTCTGGACCTCCGACTTCAACATGTCATTTCCTTCCAGAGAACTGCTGCTTGCTGGGTATTTTCTCCTTTCCAAACCATTTTCTGTAAACTCCAGAGATTATTTTTGGGGAAAATCCCAGCAGGTCAACAGGTTCTGAAAAACTCAGACCAGCCAATATGTCACCAGCCTCCATGAAACATTCAAAGTCACTTACATCACATTTCTTCCCCGTTGTAACGCCCAGTAGTGCTTTAGCAGCTTGTTTTGATCATGTCTACATGCATAAACGCACTGAGTCGCTGCCATTTCATTGGATAATTAGATGTTTGTGCTAATGAGCAGTTCAACAGATATATCTAATAAAGTAGTCAGTGAGTGTAAAGTCTTCGGACCAGCTGTAGGTCACAACAAGCTTAAATTAGTTTTAGGTAACACCATTAATGATGCTCTAAAAAACCCCAAGGGGAGGCCTTGGTTTTGGAGCCCGCCTCAAGTGGTCATTAGAGGAACTGCAGTTTTTGCAACTTCTGCATTTCAATTTTCAGCTCCAGAGGTTGTTGTTTATACGTAGAAGCTGTTTAAAGCAGGGTATTTGTGGCTTGTAGGATTGTAGTATAATAGAAAATTACAGTATACCCACCACACCCCGGGCAGCAGTGGTTTTCATTTCAATAATGCATGCTGTATGAATATTTCATCTCAGTGCTGTATTTAATACCTGACCTTCAAGATTCACACCGCAGGGAGGCGATGACTTCACACTACACTACACTGTGTAATTGTTGGTAAATCAAGAACAGTTCAGGTGTTCTGATGTCTCCTGGAAACTCAAAAGTGCTTTTGAAGTACGCTAACAGAAATGATCAGCTTGCATAAAAACACTGTAAATAACTTAATGCTCTGTGACTGCTGTACCATCAGTGATGATACTGATACCTGCCACTCAGGTGAGGGATGTCAGTGGGCTGAAGAGCTAAGACAAACACTTCATGTCAGTGTCAGTCTGTTCTTAGGAACCAGAGCCCTCCTGCTTTATTTTTCAACTTTCAGCAATCGGTGATTAACTTCTGAGGTGGTGGGTGAAGCAGCACTGAGTCATGTGAAGCACTGCTGTACTGAAAAATCAATTTACCTGCAGCTGTATCAGAAAAAACAACACCTAAATATTTAAAATGCAGAATACTAATATCCATTCTTTACACTTTACATAAAATTTAAGTAAATGGCATGCGATAATTAGCAGCTGTCAAAGCATCTTAGAGGTAGATTACAATCATCTACAGTTGTTGCCTTTTTTTTTTATTGATTTCCACTTACTGACCTGTGAGCCACACCATTCAGCAGGTGGAGACTGATCCACAAATGATCAGTCTTCAGATTAATCGCTTCAGGGGCTGAACTATTCAAAATACTTCCTACCTAAACCATCTAAACTAATCTGTGCTTCCTTCCTTCCACAGGCCTCCATCAGCATCAGCTGAACATCTAGTGGCAAGAAATCAGATCTCAGCAGAGAAATGCTAAATGAACATAATCTTTGATCTGTGCTTCCAATTATACAATTAGATTTAAAATGAAAATCTGTGACATGTTTTACTGAGTTAATGAAGAGGCCCTTAATTACACACTTCTACAGTTTGGGAGCTAAAAGCACATGCTGCAGCTTTTCAAAGCAAAATTACTGTTCAAGCTTGTTTGAGTCAGGATTTCAGCTCTCAACAGATCAGGGTCTCCTGTGCTTTTCATGCCGACATGTTTTCATTGGATGAAAGTTCAGGACTCCAGGCAGACGAGTATAGTATAGTATAGTCCCTCGATACAGAGGAATGTGTGCAGAATGGAGAAATAAGCAATAGCACTGCATATTCTGTGCCATATGTAATTACCTTATACACATGCTGACTTTTTGATGTGTAGTGACAATAAAATATGAATAATTATCATTAAGGTCCAGTTGAATTATTATTTGATTGGACCAAAGGGCAGGCTTTTGAATATCCATCTTTTGTCTTTGGACTGCGGAGCTTTAAACAGACGTTCAAAGCTGCTTTTCAGTTTTGTCTCTGCATAGTTTTCTCTGGATTTCCTGAATCTTTCACATATTTTAGGGTCGAAAGTACCGAATTGTCTTAAATGTATGACAGGGCCTGATAATTCAGGAAGAAGGATATGAAGTTAAATTCTGGACTAAACAGGACTGCAGTTCTGTTTATAACCATGTGCCAGTGCAGTATTTCAGAGTGAACCGCCCTCCTGTCTTTCAGCGCTACCAATTAGGTTTTCCATTGCACCGAATGCACTGACGATACTGTTACCCAAGCATTGTACTAATAATGGCTCATTTATTGTATGCATTGCCTTAAAAAGGGGGGGGGGGGGTTGAAGCACACTGGAACAGCAAGATAAAAATGTCCGTTAAACTAAGATGATGAAATACATTAAAATGATCAAAGTGAAGTTTATATCTGTCCTCGTTCTGAGCACTGCTGTACTGCCGGCTTCTTTTTTACTTTATAGATACTGAAAGCCTTAAAGGCAAAAGTTAAAGTGGATAATCTCTTTAGCAGGATTGGACGTGTTGCATAAAATGGAACAAATGGGCCAAAACATGTAGAACGCACTGCAGAGCTACATCTAAAATATCTGTCCCATTAAGCAGCCTGTCTGTGTCACTGGGATCTGCTGCACTGCATTCTTTTCTATTTTGGAGTTCTGCTTCTCATTTTTATTGACCTTATGTAATTTTCTATTGAGGTTAAGCAGCACTGCTTAGGAAAAGATGTAGGAGGGATTTTTTCTTTTTACTGTTTAACTAAATTCTGGTGCTGCCACTACAGCACTTCCCTACTTTCACTGCATTTCCATCGCCATGCAGGGTCCATCACAGTAAGTGCTGTTCCAGGCCAACTAGTTTTAAATGTAAGTGGGTTGTAAAAGCCCTCCAACAACCAGTCTGCATCGAGGCTGACTAGAATAAGCTCACAACACTGACATTGCTTTCATGTCTCAGCAATGAACAAAATGAACCAGCTTTCAATATTTATAAAAAAGAGTTAGTTTGAATCTAATTTCTATTACTAAAGATAAAATTAAGACAAAGCAGGGTATGAATGAAAATTAATTGCAGTAGATACATTTTCAGTAACTAATGATCTCAGTGCACTATCTGATAATCTAAACTGCTCAAGCTGCAGAGAAAGTTTCTGTTTGCATCATAGAAAGGCGAGGACATCCCAAAGCGTGCCTCTGTATTTCTTTTTTTTTTTTTTTTTT